TTTTCTCCGAAATGCTAAACTCAAACTAAAAACCGTCAAGATAGGTGCATGTGTTTCGTCTTTTAGAAACTTTTTTGTTCTTTGCACGAACCTCCTATCTCTTACCGTTTTCGAGTTAAACATTTTTTTTATATTTAAACAATTATTACACCCCTTACCCTCATTTATTTTTACACAAATTGTGTCATTAGTTTATAGAGATGCGTTTTTTTTTTTTTGTAAACAAACTTTCTGCTTTTTGGCACCCTGAAGCGATAATTCCTTATTTTTAAATATTTCCGAATACGTCCCTGTCTAATGAGAAAATAACGTGTGGTTCCGAAGGAATCTGCTGATGCGAAAGAATATTGTTATAATGACGGACGACGACGCGTTTCGGTTTACAAATTTTAAGGTGAAAATATTCGTAATTATATCGGAAAATAAGTGGTTTTGTTGCTTTGTTTTGGACACTAAATGGTGGTTTTTGTGATATGTGTGTATATGCATGTTTTCGAGAAAGAACGGATAATTTTACTGTCTGTTTTCGACGATGTAAGTGACATTTTTTAATTTTAAACAACACACTCTCGCCTTCCGACATTTGATATTTTATTCTAATAATTACGGACGTGTTTCGCATCATTATTTTTACGTTAGATTGATCCGTAATTATTTGTAATGTACAAGATTCCGAGTGCAAATAAGCTTAAATCAACAGAAACTTGCTTCGGACAGCTGAAATTTTATTTTAAATTATTACGGGCGTGGTTCGGTTTATTATTTGTCGTTTGGGTAAAAGTTTATGTAGTCTGGGCCTATTTTCGACCCAAAACAAATAATTTTTTTCTCTGTTATGAATAACCTAAGTAACCATTTATTTATTACGAAAATAAACGGAATTTTGTCGGAAGAAACACGGCTTTTATTCGTGACGGTTAATCGCAATTAAATAATTTTATATGGGACTGGTGAAAATAACACACCAAACGATATAAACAATATTTATTACAATATAATAATATAATTTGAATTATTCCAATTTTCGAAGAAGTTATTTAACTGATTTTCTTTGTTCAATAATTTTCAATTGTGAATCTAACTTTTCGATTGTTTCTCTAAATTTTCGCTTCTTCTCCATCATTTTTTCGATTAACGGTTTTATTTGTATTTCGAAACGTTCCACATTCATTAGAAATCTTCTAACATCATATAACCAAGTATTAATTCGGTTTTCTTTATCATTTATTAAGAAAATAACAGATATATTATCGAAGCACACACGTCTTTTATTCATGACGATTCACCATAAAATAATATTTTGTACGAGGATGTTGAAATAAAACACAGTAAGTGATTAATTATAATTTATTAAAATCATTAATTCTACAGCTTTAGATTATTAAGTCCTTTTCTTATTTCATACAACTTAATTGCTTCTTTTATGGAACGAATACGTTCCAAATGTAAATCTAATCTCCGATGCAAAGTTTTAACGATATTTAGATTATATTTCTTATTTTTCATTATCTTCATCCTTCAATGAATTCTATATTGACTGTTTGACCGATCGGTCCTTTGTTGACGAAATGCAACTTCCAGCCGTTAGCAATTTTTCTGTTCAGATCGTCGATTACTGAATCGTCGAATTTTTCAGTAAAGCGCTCGGGTAGTATTGCCCTGCAATCTTCCAGTTGCACAAATATTTTGTCCCCGTATTTTGTAGGATTTTTACTAAAACTTTTAATCAAAAACTTTTTGTTTTCTTCTAAAGTTTTTGCACTCACAAAAGCTTGTAATTGTGATTCTTTATTCAAATCAGAAATAAAAGACGACATTTTAAATTTACAATCTGTTCAACAATTGAAGGCACAATACTAAATAAATCACTGACAAGTAAATCGACGTTTATATAACCGCAAAAGAGATGGTGGGGTATTACTCGAGCCTGCTCGAGATAGGAAGGGGATCGCTGCGTCAGCTTAACCGAGCAAAAGCAAGGTCAACGCACATGTCAGCCACCTGCAGCCACAAAGAGTCAATGAACGCCCAGGTCAATTGTCGACCAAAAAGATCAATGACCGCTCGATCAAAAGTTGTGGGGCTCCTAGCTCGGGTTGACCTCATTTGACCTGAGCCAGGAGCCCCACTATATAACTACTAATATAGTTCAAATTCAATAAAAATCAACAAAAATACAGTTTGTAGCTAAAATTTGATGGTTTCGTTGCACTTTCCGAGCCCGTAGGGTATCTGAGTGGCTTAAAAGTACAAGAAAACACTTCAAAAGTGACGTTTCTGAAGAATTTTAACAGTTTTCTTGTATCTACGAACGCCAGAATGCATAAAATTGACCTAAACGTCTCCTTTTCCTATTCTGAGTCGATTATGCATGCTTTAAGTGTGTTTGGTGGCTCAGAACCATCAAAAAACGTTGAAATATAGTTCAAATTCAATCAAAATCGACAAAAATACAGTTTCTAGCTAAAATTTGATGGTTTCGTTGCACTTTCCGAGCCCGTTGGGTATCTGAGTGGCTTAAAAGTACAAGAAAACACTTCAAAAGTGACGTTTCTGAAGAATTTTAACAGTTTTCTTGTATCTACGAACGCCAGAATGCATAAAATTGACCTAAACGTATCCTTTTCCTATTCTGAGTCGATTCTGCATGCTTTAAGTGTGTTTGGTGGCTCAGAACCATCAAAAAACGTTGAAATATAGTTCAAATTCAATAAAAATCGACAAAAATACAGTTTCTAGCTAAAATTTGATGGTTTCGTTGCACTTTCCGAGCCCGTAGGGTATCAGAGTGGCTTAAAAGTACAAGAAAACACTTCAAAAGTGACGTTTCTGAAGAATTTTAACAGCTTTCTTGTATCTACGAACGCCAGAATGCATAAAATTGACCTAAACGTCTCCTTTTCCTATTCTGAGTCGATTCTGCATGCTTTAAGTGTGTTTGGTGGCTCAGAACCATCAAAAAACGTTGAAATATAGTTCAAATTCAATAAAAATCGACAAAAATACAGTTTCTAGCTAAAATTTTATGGTTTCGTTGCACTTTCCGAGCCCGTAGGGTATCTGAGTGGCTTAAAAGTATAAGAAAACACTTCAAAAGTGACGTTTCTGAAGAATTTTAACAGTTTTCTTGTATCTACGAACGCCAGAATGCATAAAATTGACCTAAACGTCTCCTTTTCCTATTCTGAGTCGATTCTGCATGCTTTAAGTGTGTTTGGTGGCTCAAAACCATCAAAAAACGTTGAAATATAGTTCAAATTCAATAAAAATCGACAAAAATACAGTTTCTAGCTAAAATTTGATGGTTTCGTTGCTCTTTCCGAGCCCGTAGGGTATCTGAGTGGCTTAAAAGTACAAGAAAATACTTCAAAAGTGACGTTTCTGAAGAATTTTAACAATTTTCTTGCATCTACGAACGCCAGAATGCATAAAATTGACCTAAACGTCTCCTTTTCCTATTCTGAGACGATTCTGCATGCTTTAAGTGTGTTTGGTGGCTCAGAACCATCAAAAAACGTTGAAATATGTTATTATTATTATTATTATTATTATTTTGTTGTATTATATCTACAATTCTATTAAGTTTAGTGTCAGCATCCAGAACATTGGACGCAGTCTACCATTGACAACAACTGCAAGAAATTAAACTGGCCCGTCTGTGTTATGGGTCTTATTGTTTTTGTTACGTAGTGGTTTGACATTTAGTGTCAACTGGAGATCAAGCTTAACTCCTAAATGATCTGATAAACAAGATCGAGAGACGCAACAGTACAAAAACAGGTGTCTATATTAGTAAATACGTTATCCGGGCATTAATCTTTTCTAGTTGGGAAATTTACTATATGTAGCAGACCATAACCTTGCATGAAGTCTAAGAATCTATGCTTGAAGTGACCGTCAATGTTAAATTTGATGTTAAAGTCTCCTACCACATAGACATTGTCCTTATATGTATTGATAATAGAAAACAATTTGACTAGAACGTCAACAAACATGTTAAAATTGGCAGATGGCGGTTTGTATACTTTAATTTGATACAAATCTAGATTTGTAATGTAGATACCTGACAGTCCACAGATATTTTCTTCTGATAAGCATTCCACGGAATGAAGGGGAACACAGCAAACTTTCCCGTTTGTCAGAATTATTGACACCCCATTTTATGACGAAGTTCTTGGGTTCATATAGCACGCCCCACAATCAAGATATTGTAGTAACTAAAGTGAGATTCAAAAAGACAGAAAACAACAGTATACATATTTATACCGCGCTCCCCCTCCATATAAAAGCTGCTGATATTCGGGTGTTCAAATATACAGTTAGAAATATTCTTAAAAACAATAGAGTAGTTTGTACAATCTCTACGCATTTCATGGTACATTTAAGAACAGTTTTGTTACTGTTGTGTGGATACTCTGTGTGCGCGATTGCAGTCCAAACTATTCGACGGCATTTGAATCTGTATGTACTTAATCAACAGAGAATTAACTGCCAACTGCGCGTTTGTAATCAAATCACAAATCCATCAGTTGTTTTCGTGATAAAAACTTGCGCCAAGTGTTTAACTAAAAACCTCTCTGTGTCAAGGAAAGTGAATTTGATTTGATGCACTGACCGGCTCGTCAAACGAAGGGGAGAAAAAAATTAGAAAAAATGGGTTTTCGAAAAAATGTTGAACATGATAGTATAGCAAAGTTTCATATATTGATGATGTATGATGAGTTCTACTATCATTTAAATTTTTTGCTTCAATTCCATAACAATTTCTATATTCATATTTCGTGTGGTTGAGCGGCTCTCTTTTAGGTTTAACCTGTTTTGTTAATCCACTCTACCGTTACAAGTATTGAAATAAATAAAAAATTAAATCTTGTTCGTCTAATAACATATTTTCAAATAGGTCTGTGGTATGCCGCCATTTCTTTGCACATAAAAATAAAAATTGTTTTATTAAAGAATTTATTATCATTTATACAAATTATACATTCATTCAACGCAGTCTTACAGTTAAACGTAGAATTTATTATTAAATTATAAACAATCTAAACGGCGGAGCATTTCATTCAACATAAAAATAAGTACAAAGAATGTTCTCGTGATTAGTATATTACAGCTAAATTATTTACAGATCCGTCGATATCCGAATTTTATTTATCTAACCAGTAAAGTTCACATAGTTATGTACAATGTTCTGGGGTATAAACCAATTAACAGTAATCATAATTCTTAGTAACAAGAATTATTAGCGTAGATAATAGAACAATCATGACGCGTTTTAGTTTTCAACATCAGAATAATTACTTTCGCTTGAAACTGTCTCTGCTTGGTCAACTTTGAAAAAACACATTTTGTAGTATCACATTAGGAAACTTTCGTTAATGAACCAAAGGCAAATAAATGGGTGATATGTTTATATTTCTGTATTATCTTCGGAGTTTTCTTCATTTTCTGGTAATTCCGGAACAGTGTAAACTCCTGTCATTACCGGACCTTCCAACACTTCGGGTATTTTCGCGGGAGTCAAGTCGTGTCCAGCACTTAGCTCTAATGTCGGAGTTCCAGTACTCAAAAGAGTTTCTTCCGTCAGATTTCTGTGGTAGAAATTATTTTTAATATGCGGATTGAATTGTCATGACGTCATGTTAAAAGGATCCGAGGAAGTCAAATCGTCGGTGAAACTTGTAGAATTCAATTTAGGAATAGCCTTCTCTTGATGTTTAAGTCTATGGACGATTTCGTCATGGACTACGTTGAAACACATGGCTGTCAACGCCATGCCCGACATTATATAAATTGAGCAAAACCAGATAGTTGTATTCGATTCATGATTCGTGAATGGATCTGACCCCGGAACCATATTTCCAAAGCCTATGGTAGTCAAACTCATAAAACAAAAGTAAAAACCATCCAAAATAGCCCAGTTCTCTAACTTGTATAAAGCGAAAGTCCCTAAGCAAATGTAGATAAACATCATAGCTAAACATAGAAGAATAGGAGCTAGAATGCTTAGCCCATGCATTGACGATTTTGATTCGTTGTCCGTGCAGCTTAAACTGTCGATCTCCTTCACCGCGCCGTCGCGAAGTGGTGAGTGCAGATTATTGTGTACGGAATTGGAGCGTACGTAGAAAGGTTCCTGTAGCGCCATTTGTTCTTGAAGTTCCATCTGCTGGCGTTTCTTTTTCATACGCCGTTCCTTCTCGGCCATGCGTTTTTCGTCGTAACAGCAATAACCGCAATTTGAGCAGAGACAGCAGCAGAGGGCTCGCGAAAAAACACCTCGTGCTACCCGGCTAAGGATGGAACCGATGCTGGAAAGGTAGAGAAGAGTGAGGGGGATGCCCAACATGGCGTAACCCATAGTGACAGCCTTCCCCAAGGACGTCCGTGGAGCTATACTGCCATATCCTACAAGAAAAAAAGATTGCAATGTACACATCAAATTGAGTAAATAGTTTTATAGAAATGGAAATATTTATATTAGCATCAATTCTTTTACATGGCGGGTTACAAATATCCACCACGTACAATATAATATACAGTTTGTTAGTCAAACTGTAAAAGACAAGGTACTTGTTACATGTTCACAAACTACATTTAAATTCGTGTCTTATAAACGCATCAACGGAATAGAAATCTACTTCTAACATGAGTTTCTTCAATGAATTCTGAAACTCGGTACCTTCCAATGCTCTTATGCAATCAGGAAATTTGGTGTGACACTCCAATAGGTCGCACCGTGAATCATTTTCTTGTTGTGTTTTGGAATCAGTAGATCAGCTTGTGACGGTTGTCAAATCAATGTATATCACAAACTTTGTTCTACTATTTTTTGTTTATCTGGACATCGTTCAAAAACTTCAAGATGCATATTAATGGTATAGTGAGTATTCTCGCTTAAGTGAAGGCACTTCTGCACGTTCCTTTTTGGGCCTAACTTGCAGCTCGTAATGCTTTTTATGCAGTATGAATACTTTCCAGCATTAGGAAGTATTCCTTATATCTGGATTCCATACGACATTGTACTGTGGAAGTTAGCAAAGTATGTGATTTTTGTTGTTTGCTGCTTGCTTATTCTCTTGATTCTTCTTAAACAAAACAATGTTTTAGACCATTTTTACAGATCTCCTCTGTGTGTCATGACTAATTCAGTTTTGAGTCTAACTATACTCCCGGCAACTTAACTCAACCTTATTCGACTTCCTTTCCAAAAGTGAGTTTTTCTGTTTTATCTTTATTGATCATGTGTTTGTTTTTTGTGAACCATTGGCTTATTTGTTTTTCTGTAACTTGAGTTTTGTTCTTAAGCTTTTCTTCATTCTTTGCTTTCAGTATTACTAACGGAGGGACACAATACAAACAAATTGAGCCTTCTTTTATATCAATGCCGTTATATAGACTAAGAAGAGTATGAGGCCCACGATAGACCCCTGTGGAACCCCATGTTCCACTTACTTCGAATTTATTATTATTATTAAGACCCACCACTGACCCGGAAATGACCGGCATTCAGGCAAGACTTCTATCATTACGGGTACTAAGACCAAGTAATGATATGCATTGATTAGATTAACAAAACAACTTTCGATATTCTAGAATTACAGCATACAAGTTAGTCTGCTATTACTCTCTAATCTCACCCCATCCCCAAAAATCTAGCGTAACTACCGATCATTTATCCGCGCATCACTTGGAAAGTGACTTACACTACTCTGACCTACTGGTGCTAATCTAATATGACTGACATGATCAGAATGTTCGAGAAACTTACGAACAATATGACATGTTCCTAATAAAATAGTTTTTTGAATTTTGACAATTATTGAATCATTCAAATGCAAAGACTTTAAATTCCCAACTAAGCTATTTGGGACTACACCTACATTAGAGATAACTAAGGGTAGAATTGAAATTTTTTTAAAATTCAACATGGATTTCATTTCTATCGATAATTGTAGATATTTTGAAATCTTGGTGTGGTATGTTTGAATAATGTTGTTGTGTTAGGAATAGTAATGTCAATCAGAATGGCTTCGTTCGTGTTTTTTGATAAGTATGATGTCTGGTCTGTTAGCTGTAATGTTTAAGTCTGTAAGTGTTATGCGATCCCAGTATAATTTGTATTTGCTATTTTCAAGAAACAGAGATTTTTTTTTCAGGTTTTGCTTTGCAAAGGCGACAGCATTCTGAAGCGAAGTCGTACCTTCCAGCTTAGAGGGGGTACTTCTTAGCCAACCACCTCCTTTCGGGGGTGGTTTCGCGCCGGGGGCTTTTCCCCACAGCTTTGACCTAAAAAGCGAGCAATGACTTTGAGCGGGTGGTCTGTCGGCAAATTCGTCCAATTCATAGAAATATCCTTCCCGTACAATCGGCTTACAACAACAAACATAAGTTACAGAGGTACTCTTCGCCCACTGTAAACGGTGAGAATTTTCTATCTCTAACCCTAATAAAAATTACCCCACTTCAGAATTTACTGGCCGACTTCTTCGGCCCATGCTCGACGCGGCAATGCAAAACACGCCTCTACAAATCCGGAAGCGAGACAATCTGTCCGGCCGATACTAAAGCTCTTTTCTCAAAAACCCTATTACTATGTACAATTATCAAATCTACAATCAAGGAAAACCATTTATCTCTACGAATAAGTTCCGCGTCAAAGACTGACATATCTGGTGCTTAACGGCTTCGATCAAGAACGTTTCAATTTCATACCTCTAAATGATGGAATTCCACGTTATTGCTGGGGCCCATTGTATTAAGTGCATCAAATCGAAAACGTGCTTGGTCTATGGGGATTTTTGGGAACTTGGGTACGGATGGATATTGCGGGGTGATTTCAGAATTTTGGGTAGTAAGATGGGACGGGCGTAATAAACCATTATTCAACAGAAATGACATCTTCGTTTTTCTAGAAAAGTTCCCATCAGAAAAATGCGGCGGCTGCCTCTAATAAACGCGATGGTTTGCACGTGTTATAATACCGATGGTCGCCCAGACTTTTTTATTGCTTCAACTTCCGCTTATTATATAAAACATATTTTATTTTAATTTTTGAAGGTGTAATTCACATTTGGTTGATTATAACTTGTCTATACCACATTCACGGAACCTAGTCAGCGCAAAAGAACAAATGCACGTCTGTAATGTTAAAGTAAATACTTAAGTACTTCTTCAGATTTGAGATTTGTCTCTGATATAAGTTTTCTAGGTTTTGGAAACCCCTTCCTCCATTCTGTCTTGGTAATGAGAATCTTTCAATGGACGATTTTGGATGATGTCTTCTATACTGTGTGAAGATTTTCCTTGTTGCGATGTTTAAATTTTCAAGATCAGTTTTGGACCATTTAATCACTCCAAAAGAATATGTTAGCAGTGGAACGCAGAATGTATTTACTGCTTTCATTAAATTTTTTCTATGTAACTGTGCCTTCAATATTAATTTTAATCTCGCTAGGTATTGATCTTTTAACTGCGTTTTCGTTTTGGTATGATTGATGTGGGAGGATTGACAGAAACCCAGATATTTGTATGTATCATTTCTGCTGGCTATTATTTAGAATTTTCATCTAAGGAATTTTACTATTCTATTCTTGATGACGGCTTCAAATATTTTTTATAGATATATGTTGTTGGCAGAAGTGATATGACTCTATAGGTGCCTCAAGTGTTTTTCTCACCTTCTTTGTTCACCGGCATGAGTCTGGCTATCTTCAGTTCAGGGAAATATCCTTCCTTAAATTTCTTATTTATCAGTGTTAGTGGTTTAAGAATTTGATCCACACTTTTTTAAGAAAGGCTGTTGAGATATTGTATTAAGAGAGAGTGTTTTCCCAGATTCTCATAAGAAGGCGGTGGTAGCGTCCTTGCTTAGAAAAGATGATTCTCAAGACATAAATAGCTCTCGCTCCATTTCACTCCTTCCCGTTTCCTCAAAGGTTCTGGAGAAAGTTCTTCAATTCAGTTATTTTGAACATAATAACATTTTCTCTACTAATCAGTTCGGCTTTAGAAAAGCCAGATCCACTGTGGCCGCACTGCTTTCTATCAGTGGCTAGGTGTGCAATGGTTTTCATTCAGAGGAAGCACTTCTAGTGGAACATTTGAACCTATCAAAGTCTTTCGATTGTATGTATCATACCACCATTATTCGCAAGCTTTTTGCACACAACTTACATCCCCTAAGCTACAGAGTACTAGCTTCCTTTCTAACCAGTCGTATACAGAGGATTGGTTTTGAGGGGAAACAATCTGAAGATAGTTCAATCAAGTTAAACATCCCTCAAGGGTCTACTCTCGGACCGCATTTCATTGTTTTTACAAATGATTGCTCGTTCCATTTGAAAAAGCGTGGCACTATTTTATATGCTAATAACACTACTCTGGTCAGCAGTGGAAAGTGTTTACAAGAAGCAGCAGAGAGAGCTGAGAGATCTCGATTAATAGCTTCTGAGTGGTTCAACAGCAACAGCTTCGTAATCAATAGAGAGCGGAAAATATAATAATTTTCCTAATATATGCAGATATATGCAGTTGCATATGCTCCAAAAATTAAAAAAAAGCCTAATAACCGAACTAAATTTATTTCTAAATTGCACAAACAAGTTTCCCGTGCTTACCTTTTATTACAAAAAAAACATAAATCACGTTGCAAAGTGTTTAATTAGATCTCAGTGACATCTTTTAAGATAATATTCTTATACTAAAAAATAAATATAGGCAAACAAAACGAATTAAAAATAGTACAAATCGACTATTTCATTACTGTGTACTTACCGGTTTAGAGCAGGCGCGACAAAACACAGTTCCTTCTCGAAGAATAGATTCAGGAAAAGGTTTAATTCATAAAATAATTTGAGTTATTTTCGACATATTGACACACCTTTATCGCTTTAAATGCTTTCAATGTAAACTCACGATGAAAAATAATAGGATAACGTCCCTTCGACCACCATAAAACACACCATTAATACACTTAAGTGACGAATAAAACTATTGGGAATGAATGGTATTTTCAAAAGTAATTAAGGCCCGAATTTACCTGGAAGTAGTACCACCATAAAACCCAACATTTTCCTAGTTATTTGAATCTCAGGACAATATTTGCCACATGATTCATGAAATGTCGTCTTTCTAGATAAATGCCGATAGGATGACAATCATTTTTTTTTTCAAAGTAGCACAAAAATTTATAAAAATGCAAAATATGCACCTGTTACGTGAAATATGCAACAGAAGGCAAATATATGCAAATATACAATTTTTTTATAGCTGTATTCATTTCTAATTAGAATGACTCTTTCACATATTAAATGTCACGACTTATATGCAAAAAATAACGGATACGCAAATTTCATAAAACCCGCTCTCTAATGATGAGTTTATAATTGTGATTTATCACTGCATAA